GGTCGACCGCCGCGGTCGACCGCGATGGATCACGGTCGACCGTGGCGGTCGACCGCCGAAGCGGGTTGAGTCTGGTTTCTGTTTCCAGACCCGTTTCGTTTGAGAGTTGTATATAAACCCAGAACTCGTTTCTAGGGTTAAGTTTTGGAGGATTTGAGCTGGTGAAAGGGGATTTCTAGGGCTTTTATTGTTGGAGTCTATTGGAGAGATCAAGTAGTCTTGTTTGAGGGTTTTGGGTAAGATTTGTAACCCTAATTTGTATTCCCCTTGATTTCTATTAGTGAAACTCTCCCCTCCTTGCCCCGTGGACGTAGGCACGTTGCCGAACCACATATATCTTGTGTTCTTGCTATGATTGGTTGGCTTGTGTTTATTTGTGGTCTACTATTGTTCTTGTGAGAGATTTTGTATTGGCGATTTGGGCTTCCGCGGCGCAGAACAGCTCCCCCAGGTCCGATTTCTCCGACGACTTCACCAACTCCGACGCTCCCAAATCCGCCATCTCCGACGACGTCACCAACTCCTCCGTACTTCGCCGACTTCCCCCTCGATCTCCGTCGAGCTCCCTCGATCTCCCTCTCCTCCATCAACCCCCAAAATCGGAGCTCCCCCAGGTCCGATTTCTCCGACGCCGACTATCCCCAACTCCGCCGACCGTGACCGACTATCCCCAACTCCCTCGAGCTCGATCTCGAGATCCCCCAACTCTTGCTTATTTTGCGTTTTGTTCAGATTCTTACTGGAAAATATTTGTCAGGTTTGAGTTGATTGATTGTGTTCTACTATCACTAATTTGTTCTTTATCTATGAAAAGTGCTCGTAAAAGCTTTTTAAAAAATTTCCGTATAAGACTTGAGATATTTGTTCCCTATTTTAACTGATGAATTTGGCTCATAAGGCGGTAAAACAATATGCCCTATGGTTAGTGACAGCAAGCTCTACGGAATATATTTGGTGGAGTATCATATTAAATGAATTGATGATAGCTCAGAGCCTCAGAAAGTGTTTATGTCTTACTTTTATCTATTTTGTATCTAATAAGTAAGTTTCACTTAAGTATACTGGTTTCACTTAAGTATACTGGCCTTAATCCATTCCAATGTGTTAATACCAATTTTTTGAGAATTCTTTTTATAAAGGGCTTATGTGAACAAAATTAGCGATAGCTCCAACTGATGTTCGAGTTGCTAAAATTGGCCCATGTTATCACTGAATCTTTTATGGAGGCTAATTCTAACAAATGTGCAATCTTTTATGGAGGCTAATTCTAACAAATGTGCAATCTTTTATGGAGTTGTCACTGAATCTGAAAAGGCTAACATTGCCACTGAGCTGGTGTATACTGGCTCTCTGACTTTGCACATGTATCAGATGTGAAGATCTGTTTAATCAAACATCCTATTGGACTGTTTTCCCTAAACTGACAGTTAAGAGGGTTCTCACTGATGCTGCTAAACATTGGTTAATTAAGGAAGTTAATTACAAGGAGATAAGAAATGCCCTTTTCCAAATGAATGCAGATAAGGCACCAGGCCCAGATGGATTCAATGCATATTTTTATCAACAAAATTGGGATATAATTAAGGATGATGTGGTTCTGGCAGTGCAAAATTTCTTTTCTTCTGGTTCTCTTCTTAAACAAATTAACCATACTTTCCTTACTCTTGTGCCGAAATCAAAAGAAGCTACTTCTATCCAAGATTATAGACCAATATCATGTTGCAATGTCATTTACAAGATTATTACTAAAATCCTTGCAAATAGATTAAAGCTTGTGATTGGAGAATTGATTTCTAAGAATCAACATGCTTTTCTTCAAGGGAGACATATAGGTGAGTGCTCTTTACTTGCTCATGAATTGCTTAGAGATTTCAACAAGAATCATGGTAAGAGAGCCTGTTTTAAGATTGATCTTCATAAGGCATTTGATAGCATCAATAGAGAATTTGTATACTATATTATGCACTGTATGGGTTTCCCAGTTAAATGGATTAATTGGATTAGAGAATGTCTATCTACTCCCTCTTTCTCAGTACTATTAAATGGTTCCTCCTCAGGATTCTTTAAGAGTAATAGGGGTATTAGACAAGGGGATCCCCTTTCTCCATATATCTTTGTCTTGACCATGGAATTCTGGTCTATTGGTATGGAACTAGCAACTATCTCAGGGAATATCCAGAATTTTAAAACACAACAGGAACTTCAAGTCTCTCATATTTTATTTGCAGATGATATGCTAGTATTTTGTAGAGCAAATAGAAGTTCATTTGAAGGTATCAACAACCTGCTGGAAGCTATGGCATTGAATACTGGCCTGTGTATTAACAGGAAAAAAAGCAAATTATTTTTCAGTAAAGGTTGCAACTACATAGGTGTATTAAGCTCAATTGTGGGAATTTCTATTGGGAATCTTCCTATGAAATACCTAGGATTACCTCTATCTGCCAAATACCCGAAAGCTAAGGATTTTCTTCCTCTTATTGACAAGATCAGATATAAGATTGAAGGCTGGATGACACATTCTCTTTCATTTGCAGGGCGATTGGAGCTTGTTAAAGCTGTCTTATTCAGTACCTCAGCCTATTGGTATTTTGTTTATAAATTCCCTATATCCATTGTCCAAAATTTGGAATCAATTTTTGCAAATTTTCTCTGGAATGGAAAACTTCATGCTATCAGCTGGAAGGAGGTTTGTCGGCCAAAACAGGAAGGGGGATTTGGTCTGAGACAACTAAGTGATATTGGTCAAGCAGCTGCTCTAAAATTAATATGGAGACTATTAACAACTAATACTCTATGGTCAAGCTGGATGAAAGTCAGATATGTCAGAGGAGGTAATTTGTGGAATTCTACTTCTAATCTATTGGATTCAGGTACCTGGAAGCACATATACAGTCATAAGGAGAAAGCTCTGAGCTGCATTAGGAAAACCATTGGGAATGGGGAGGCTACTTCACTTTGGTTTGACCCATGGTTACAGGAAGGTAGAATATGTGAACTTCTAAGCCAACTAACTCCTCAACTTACAGGCACTAGTACTTGGACAGTCTCTAACATCATTCAAAACTCTCAATGGAATTTCATCTTGCCATGCCTTAGTCCTCTGATACCTTTCATTACTAAAATATCAGTGTCAGGTCAGGAAGATCAATGGATATGGTTGCATACTGGTGATGGGATTTTCTCTTTTTCCTCAGCTTGGAACCAAGTACGGACACACTACAACATTTTTGAGCTTTACAATGTGGTATGGTTTCCCTACTCTAATCCTATGATGTCTTGTTGCATGCTTAGAAGTTTAAATAACAGGTTACCTACAAGAAACAGACTTTTCAGATTTGGTATTACCTCAATAGAAGTTTGTGCTCTCTGTTATGCCTCGAAGGAGACTAGGGATCATCTATTCTTCCAATGTGAATTTTCAGCATTTATTTGGAAGTTATGTAGACTTAAATTGCAGCTAAAGGCTACAGATGCAAAGGAGCTGAAAACAGAAGCCCTGGAAATCAAGGAAAAGTTCAAATTTAAAGATAATACTTATATTTTGGCTAGATTAGCTTTGAATGCAACAGTGTGGCATATTTTGCAAGAAAGGAACATGAGGATATTCCATGATCGAAAGTTGCACAAGATTATGGTGTTCAGAAGAATTTACGAAGATATCAATATTTTGCTTAGAACTTGCAATTGGAAAGTTGGTAATTCTGTTATTCTAACAAACTGGGGCTTTAATAAACGATGAATATTTGAGAGCGGGATGATAATGTTCTGTATTTGAGAGTACTATCTATTCTGTAATATGTTTGGCTTTTGGTAACGGTGGGTGCTTGCTGGGTTCCTTTAGTTGAGGGTGACGGCCAGGGTCCTCTCCCCTCTCTATAGTTTTCCTAGTTTAGTTCCTTAGCGTTGCATAGCCAAGATTGTATCTTATGTACTTGTATTTGGCATTAATGAGAATTTACT